CCCCCTGTTTCCGCCCATTTGGTGACGCGGAGAGCCCTTTTCAAAATCTAGACCATAGTGAAATGTGATCACAACGTGCGCTTCCATCTAGCCACAACAAAAAGAAAACACGGCGTATTTCGGCTTGGAGGGGGCACCAAACAGTATCGTCGAAGCTTGCACACGCTACCTTGTTAAGACCGGTAGATTCCTGTGACTGGAAAGGTTCACTTCCTCTATTTCGCAGCCACAGAACTTTACAGGTCTCGCCAACGTGAGACGTGTTATTTGACAAGAACTAACAAAGGAAACTGAGCAAAGAGTAAAATGCACCCTCTGAGCCGGACAGTGCCGAAAACGCTTGGGGAAAAAAGGCAAGCCGATCAGGGAAAGGGGGCTCAATGCAAAGTAGTCCTGGAGCAAAACTGGGACTGCCGTGAATCGTTTTTACAAAAAGAAGTTGGCTCACTCGTTCCCACCCCTTTCGTGAAAAATGTTGCAAAAAGTAATTGATAGTAATCAGTAATATTAGTAAAGAGGAATACCTGCTGATAGCAAATGTCGTCGGTGTATGCCGAACAAGGTATATTGTTCTCGGAGGCCTGTTCACCGTATTTTGTGAATCTTTGATCGATTTTCTGGAAGAAGGTGCCGCAATTGGACAAAAATATGAAAAATAACAAATATGTGGGTAAATAAGTTTTTCCTCAAGAAACTTCTGACAAACTGATGCTAACGATTGCAATGATTAGTGGGAAACTTCAAGTTATTTTGTAACCGAAGGTTATTCTCAAAACTTCTTTACCTTCGGATTCCTCGGATCACCGTAGAAAAACTCGCCAGGCGCTGGTGTTGGCCATAGTGGATCGAACGTTGTCGGTGTGGGTATTTGAGTCTGAAATTGTGGAATTTCAGCGGATTGCAGCTGCCGATGGATCAATTTCGAGCCGCTCAACGGCAAGTGGTAACGAGGTGGTCGATTTCCGCTATTTGCACGGTCTGAGCTCAAACACGGGCCGAGTGGCGGAAACTCTCGATATTTGCACTGAGATCGGCTGAGAGACAGTTGCAGTGACCCGTCAACTTTGCCGTTGATGACGGTCCAAAGCCACGGTTGCGCCGGGGAGGAGGATAATCCTTTGTATACTGACAACAGGAAGGGGGGGGGTTCAACGATTACCGGGCTTCTGTCAACCGGATGTTCTCTCGCTACGTGGGTGCCAAGGTATTTTCTCACCTCAACGTCTGAAGGGAGGGGAAAAAAGGGGCGACAAGAGAGATAGAGGGAAGGAAAAAAGGATGGAGGAAGTAGTTCTTAGTTGACAGATATCCTGAGAGCGGGAGGAGGGGTATTTCGGTACAATGGGTTCTTGTCATGAGTTGAAATGTTCGGAAGGATAAACTGAGAATGAAAAAGCCTCTTCCAGGAATGTACCAGGGAAATATTGGCGCAAAAAGATGTTGGTATAAGGTTAGAAAAGAGCCGGCAACATACTACCTGCAAGTTTTAGGGATCAAATGCAACACAGTACTGTTAGGGCCTACGGAGACATTTACACTTTCGCAGTGGTTTCTTCGGCTATTCTCGTTTGGGAGATTAATGTTAACCCTTGGTGAGACCTCTGTAGACTGCTGTGGACAAAGCCTTCTGCTATTCGCGAGGCCTATGGATAATTCACCAGGTCATCTACAGGTGCACCTAGCAGTGATCGACGGGTAACCAACAGACATGCCCCCCCAAAGGCTGCGCATAGAACTTTATTGTTTCTAATCACTTCTGAAAAAGCCTTTATTGGGTGTGGCTAGAGTGTTAGCAGAAGGCAGTGAACGATACCTCCCTAGCAAGGGTTCATCTCGTAATGTATAAATCAGTTTAACTTCCACGCAAGGCTCACCTCAGCTGCTGGACGTGGTCATCTGAAGGGCGTCAATCGCGATCCCTCTTCTGTAATCCTTCGTCTGGACGCGTAGGCTTTGCTGTGATGCCGGCAAAAAAATAGAATGAGCGTAAATTATGGAGAGGCAAACATACAACGAGCCCTAGCACACTGTAGTCCTCTGGGGCGCTGTTCGGCTCGGAGGGGACTCCTTTGGTTTTTCTGCTGATTCCCTTGGTTGGTTTATGTTAACTCATACGTCTGTTCCTGTCGGAACTGTAAACCGTCTCTGTAAGCTGGCGAAATTGATCAAGTGAGGCCACTTCGGTCCACGGGATTCACAGCCTGTAACAACGTAGCTGGAGTATCAGTGGCTCGCATAAGCCTAAATGCGGCTCCTAATTACGTTTTTTCCCAGAGAGCCCCAGGTAACCCGCACCTCAAGCTTTCCGCTGAGCTGTCCGTTGTCTCAAAGTAACCCACTATTCTGAGAAAAAAAACTTACCAGTGGTTGCAGATGTTGGTATGGATGTTGGAACATAACTGCCGAGGCTCGTTCGTTGATGAATATCATAGGTTTGAGTTTCATGATCTCGGGTCTGAAAAATCATTTTAAAATTGATAAAAAATGCAATACATTTGACTGGCCTTCCTCAACTCCCCTCTACTACGAGCTCTACAAGAATCTTACAGTTTCCACCAATGCAGTGAAACTGGGAATGGAGTCTTTTTTGGGTGGTTAGGTAGGGCGGAACTCAAACTGGTCAGGAACAACAAGAAGGGGTAAATGAGTTGCGTATGCGGGAGGGGTATGTGGTTGCGCTACTACGCCACGTTATCCACTGTCCAGATTGTACTATTCTCAACCTATTAAATATCCTGGAATCCACTCTAAATTACTTTGGATACTGTTTCAGTGGGAGGGCGCAGACGAGCAGACATGACCTGGCGTAGCCGCGCTGCAACGTGTCCCCTTAACTATTTTTGCCCGCAGAAGGGACAAATACAACTAGTCCATTGGGAACTTTCGGAGAAAATAAAAATCCTGTGATTGATGGTATTTAGACCAATAACTTTATTTAGGATTCTGTTTCGGTGAGAGGACGCAGACGAACAGACATGACGTCTCACTTCAGAGGGTGATACGAGAGAGGTACCAAATGTCACTACATGAGCAACGGGTCTGTTCACGCTAAAATGGAAGTTACCCGGACACCTCCCAACAGAAGCGCTAGGGCGTTGTAACACTTCAAATCATTGGAGACCAGGATGCACACGCAAATGGACCTATTTTGGAGGTATGGAGAGAGTCGAGAATTCCCAAGCAAAACGCTGATTTTATCGGGATTTCGTTCGGATAGAATCTGTACAGAAGCAAAAATCTCATTCTACAGTAATCTTCCCCAATTCGATAATCTGAGGAGGTACGACTTTACAAGAGCTTCAACAGCGGCAAAGCACAAGAATCAATTTGAAGGCGATAAAGAACGAGTCTGTGCCACGCAGGGAGGGCGCTATCGACCCCCGCACAGGAGTGTTTCTCGCAGTTCATTGACTACAGGTCAAATCTATGGTAGCACTGGGGTCACAGGAGTGTTTTTCCATGTCTGAACACCTAATCCTATCGAAAAAAACCCAATTTTCACAACCACGGGGTAGGTTTACACACTCATTCACGAACATTGCTGTGCGGTATGAGCTTACCTAAGTTTGTGGCGCGTTATGGAAATCAGTGAGCGTACAAGGGACCACTACAACCAAGAAACTAGCGAGGAACAGTGGCGTTGTTATCACCGGGTCCAGGGATCAAATTACGAAAAGTGTTCGTCTAGGTCAGCCAAGCTCACTGTTCCTCTCGTTGGTGTCATCGTCTTGAAGATAAAACAGCTGGCTCCACGTCGACGGACCCCTGCAGGTTAATGTTAGGTCCAAATGTGCATTCAAATTGTGTTATATATCGATTTGAACAGAAGCTGATACTGTAAGAGACTGATGCAGTGAACAAACACGTTAAAGGGCGGACCAAGCGCTGATAGCATAGGCGAGACAAAGAGCACGTGACTCACTGTCTTCAGTGGCCTTCCGAGGGATGGAATTTCGCTTGAATGGCTTTGCTAGCTGGCATTAGATGTGGTTGACAAGAAGTATCTCTAAGCCATCTGCCAACTAACAACGGACTCTGTAACTCTCAGTCAAGCTATTCCACTTCTTCCTTCCTCGAGCCTGCGGTAGATTTGACCAGCCTAGACGATTTCAGCCCTTTCACAGCACTAATCAGCTCTCATTTATGGTCCGGTGGGGCGTGTCAGTGCGGCTGCGTTTGGCGCGGTGCCAAAGTCGTTCTGCACCAGTTGTAAGAAGCGGGTAAGTGACATTACTGTATTATATCCTTCGTATTACTCGTTTTCTTACGCAACTTCTTGTCAACATACGCTTTCACAAGACGGCTGAGTAAAGTTCAACAGGGGCACACATCAGTACTGAGCTGACACGACCACATGCCGCATGATGAGGACTGTATGGTTCCCGGGAGGTTCACACAGAGATGAAGCTCGCCTGTAGAAGAGAGCGGGAATGGGCTTCCCTCTTGACCACGGCTTACAATACGGGAGGAAGCAGCGTGGCCAAAGCATATGTCCGAGCCGCGTAGGGTAGATGATCATGATGTGCGAGATGGCAGCGTCAGTGGAACACTCCATCCCCCACCCAATCCTCCTAAATTTTTCTTATTTCGTACCATGCTTCCCACCATATTTCTCGGTTCTGAAGCTTTATCCAGCTTTTCTAAAGAAACTCGCGTCGACCCGGGAGGGAGAACGGGCATATGGCACTGGAAAGATCGGAAGGAGTTAACGACCAGGAAAACTTCGTCACGACTCGGAAAAATTTCTATCAAGGTTGCAGGCGACCTCTTCCCCAGCGATCGAGGTCGAACACCTTGTGGGAGTCTAACAATAAAACTGTATCCCGGCCCGAAGTTCAGCGGTTGTACGTCTTCACCCATCCAATAATCGCGGAACTTGCCTTGGTATAGAGATGGAATTTTATGAATTGAAGTGTAAATAACTCACATTTGTGGTCTGCACTCCAACAGAAGATGAGCGATATGTAGGTTCTGATTGTTGTTGATTGACATGCACCTGGCGATTCCACTGTGGATGTGCCGTAGTCATCGTGGTAGTCGCCTGGTAGTACTGAGCGCCACCGTACTCCTGACGATTTGCCGACGGTTGAGGGAAGGTCGGTCGTCTGCTAGTTGCTACAGCCGGAGCCCTCGTGTTGTAGTTGGCTCGAATGGTGAACGTCGGGGCTCGTCGTTGCTCTTCGTAACGTCCTGGTTCGGTTTGGCGCTGCTGAACACTGGCAGTCTTCACCTTGATTGGGCTAAGTGAAGTCTGCAAAAGAGACCGCGTTCAGATAGCGATATGATCATTTCTATCAGGACTGAACTAACTTGGGCGATCGATTATGGATTCAATCGATCGCTTTCTGAATCTGAGTTCTGACTATCTAAACTAACTACTGCCTTCAGCTAAGGAAGCACTACTGAAGCCGTCTGTCCTGAAGTAGTTCTGTCCTTACCCTGGCGTTTCCTTGAAATCCAGGGGCCTCACGAATGCCGCTTTGGGCACAAGGTCCGCACACTCGTTGAGCCCGAGCGCTATCAACTGCATCCAGCGTGTCACGATAATTGGTCATGTCGCTACGAGGTTGTGACACCACGTGTGAAACACGGCTGCACCTGAAAAGGACTTTTGGTTAGGGACTCAGGGTTATTTCTATTAAGAAGCAGGTGGCGCTGAAGTAGCAACAGGCCGAAAGTACGCCGGGACGCTTCAAGGGGGGAGCAGAATTTGGCGCGGCGAGCAATTTTCGGAGCCGGAAGGCGAT